TATATATATATATATATATATATATATATATGTGTGTACTATGTACGCCTATATATATTTGGTTCCAACGATGAATTATAAGGATCACGTGCATTGTCAGAGGGTGCTACCGTGGTGGTTCCTCATGAATAATGGATACCGGTATAAGTAAGTGTAATGAGAAACGCACTAATTGAATCTTCCGGGGTATAATTAATATAAACTATACGTCCATAGAAGGAGAGGGAGAGAGAAAGAGAGAGGGAAAGCAAAGGAAGGAAAGAGACAGATAGATAGATAGATAGATAGATAGATAGATAGATAGAGAGAGAGAGAGAGAGAGAGAGAGAAAAGAGAGACGCTGGGCTTGCGGGCATTAATTAAACAGCAGAATGAAATCTTATACTCACGAAGGAGCCGTGTATTGTCCCGCGATATTTTTCGAACGGGTCCTTCAAGAATAATGCGTGCCGAATAATTCGCTCGTGGAATGAAAGAATACAATGAACGTGCGTAAAGTTTTTATAGCGTGGCGAGAGCCGGCCCGTGCTTGAAATAACATCACGAAAGATTCGTACATTGACCGTACGGTCGAAAAAAGTCATCAATGACTCGGTACCGACTGAATCAGCGACTAATTGGACGCGATCGATACCGATAGCCTACACCTCACAATTTGCGCAAGATATCTCTCTTCTTCGACGAGACGGCCACGTGTCATTCGCAATTATACACGGACGGTTTTTACGCATGGACTGAGGAGGCTCTAGCGTTTGACCGAACACAAAAGATGAATCCGTAATATATACAAGATACAAAAGTTAATCAAAGTAACAGGAATTTCAATAATCTTTACAATAACGCTTCCGACATGTTTAATTATAAACTTGTAGATGTGCAAACGTAGAAACGTCATAATACATCAAATTTTTTCTAATTTCACATATTTGTATATTAGATGGAAGCTTAAAAACTATTGCAATATCAAAGACTAACATATAGACAGTTACAGTAAAATTTCAGAATTATTAACCGCTTAATCTTGAAAATACAGTGCTGGAAAGTTTAATAATTTACAGTGACATTCAATATATATAAGCACATATTTAAACACTTATATGTTTCTTTACATTATCTGTGCATCTCTGTTGAATCAACTTGGTCTCAAATTAACATTTATCATTTGGTTAATGGAACAAACGTACGGAGATAAAAGTGTGTTCGATAAATAGTAAATTAACGAGAGGTCTCCTTGACGGCGCGTCACTGGAAATACGGCGCTTAGTGTTAGAACCTCCTTAAACAAAACGATATCTAATTCGATCGGCCGATTAGACTCGACGGATCATCCTAAACGCTTGCTCTCTAGATGTACCGTTCCCGACACTTTCCGGCTGCGATCGGCAGCCCTTACGACACACGTAAAAACCGCGCGATCTAATCGACCAACCGTGCTCTCCGATTCGCTCCGCGCCGCTTTTTACAGACTCGAGAGAAGGGAACTAACTATATGACCGGAACAAATTCGGTTGAAAGACGACGCCGCGTCCCAATTGTGCGGAGCCACGGCGCCCGGGGCGCCGTAATTCGCGCTGCGAGCATCTGGCGTATGTACCGAATAAAAAGTAAACGTCTCCTCCCCCCTCCCTCTCCCTCTCTCGCTTCCGTGCGCGATCGCGTAATCCCGCGTGATATTTCTTTATGCTCGATGGTCATGCCGGATAATTGCCGAAAGGCGCGCCGGAGGAGACGGCGATCGGGCCGTTAGCCCGACGATACGTCGTCTTACGCTCGTCTCCTTCCTTTGTGCCCGCGTCTCTCGCGAGAGCGTCAACGCGAGCAGCACGCGCGATAATAGTCTAACGGTGCGGCGCGAGATGCGTAAAGAGGAGAGGCGCGTTAAGGTACGGCTAAGGAGCGGAGAAAGTAAGGAAGCGAAGGCATTCGAGGCGACGGGGGCAGATATGCAAAGGATCCCCCGAGCGCTTTGCACACCGGAGTGACTATTTATGGCGAATTTCTCAAGAAGAGCGGGCCCTTCCGCGGCTGTGCGCGCGAGAGTACGCCTGTACGCGACAGCTTGACGTCTACAAAGTACTTTTTTTACGGCTTCCCTGAGCCGGTCCTCGTGTCATCGCTTCTCTCGTTTTCGTTCACGCCCGCCGCGAGCAGTATATCGGGAAAATCCGATGTTAACCGCGGCGTTCACGCGGTGA